CTCTATGATGCGATACACTTCCACGAGCTTGTTCCAGCTGGGTAGGGTGTCCATTTAGAGGGGTTTGTGGTGAAATTTCCGCATGTTGACGTCTAGGTCTGCGTTGGACCTCACGTTCCAACAAGGAATGAACATCGCCACCTCCAGAAATATAACACGGGTATAATGATTTTCGTATATATCACACCTTGCATTAGTCAATACTCGCCTACTGATTCATTCATTCATTCTCGTTCACACTCAAGAATGCTGAAGAACAGCTTCACAACTGAATCACACACTGAGGCCACAAATTACTCCAACGCTCTCTAGGAACGACCCAGGGTCCTTGCACATGAGAAGCAGGCAAGCTGGTCACGAGTCAACTGGAGATTATGCATTACGGAGAGCATCACGAGTCAACTGGAGACATGCTAAGTTATTACGAAAAGAGTCCATATTTTAAGGGAATATATTAGGGTTTTCCTATGAAAAACAATAGGAACGGCATATAAAAATAAAACATTCTACATCACCTTTTGTGTGATGGACTCTCTTGTAGCTTCCCATCAGCTGAAAAAGTACGCGTATGGCATTAAGATATGATGTATCTGTGGTAGTTACATTACACTATGTTTTGAAAACACTAATGTACAAGGAAAAATCTTTTCAAGAGAAGGCCAAAAATAAACAGTGGAAAATAATTGCCAATAATCATATACAGAATGGTACCGGATTAGGTAATTACAAGGTCTCTAACCGGGATGTCGTAGGTTCGGACCCCGAGGCAGAATTTTCGACACTAGTTATATATCTAGGTCGGATTCAGCCGCTGTCTGGAAGAAAATTCTAGCCGCCGGCCGCTCAGATCGGCAGTTTTCCTTGGCTTCTCCAATCAACACAAGACGAATGACGACGCAATCCACTAACAAACGAGCAACGCTCCGCGTGCAATCTTTCCTTCCTCTGCCTTGACCTATCCTCATTCCTTTCTTACACACACGTACACTTAGATGCACTACACCACCAGACATACTGGGAGACCAGTCGGGAGCTTGGAGATTGTCCCGGCTGGGGCGGTGCCTAGCAGGCGGGAAATACCTGATAAAATTTAAAAAAAAATCAGAAGATGGGAGGATTGCCACCAGATCTCATCTAGCGGGAAAATATCATTGCCACCTCCCGCGATAAAACATGGAGTAAACTTACGGGACTAATGACCTTAACAGTTGACTCACCCAAAATCACTATTGATCGAACAATATAAAATTCGGTCGATATTTGCTACATGTTTAATGACTTCGTCTTACAGACGTCAATAAAAATAAAAAAAAAGCAACTCCTTATTTCAGAAGACAATAAGCGCAACGTGACAATTTAATTTCGATAGTTTATACAAACTTGGCAAATTAACTACAATTATTACACATCGCCTCCTACGTCCTCTAAGACCTCTTAATGCGCGAAGCACAAGTCAAAAAACATCAAGTTCGAAATATGAATACGTTAATTTTAGTACGATGAAAAATTGTTTCAGGACTTCGGTGAACACATCTTTTAAAAATTATATTTTCGTATGTCTGATTAATGAAATACATTAATTAGTTTCAATTAATGAGTAAACATAAATTTATATTATATGAATATTAATTGGGATATCATCATCGATTCAAATTAAATTACAAGGTCCAATCGCTCTGCACGTTTTCTTCTACCTAACTATTTACTTCTCTTTCCCTTTGTTTTCACATAAGCATTGGTACAACCCTTAAATTCACAATATAATAATTATCTTAATAGCTATTTTGATGTTTCTTATAACCCAAAAGATTGGATGTACTCTTTGGAACATTCAAAAAAGTACTTAGCGAGTACTTTCAGAATGTGCCTGAAACCACATAACTGAAGAAGAGGAAATGGTAAATTGACGATATTATGCGTCACTCCTTATTTTAAAAGTAAAAGATAATAAAATAGATACACAAAAGTTAAAGAGCAATATGGCGACAATGTATAGAAATTTAATATGACGAAGTATGCATGTATGGCGAAACATTATTTATAAAAGACCATCAATAAAAATGTAGTAACATCATTAGGAAAACAATCAAATTATTTCCCTGAAAGTAACAAAAATTCTTAGAATATATTACATACCATTTTTTTAAAATCCGATCACACTATGCGTAAAGAGAAAAACACTATTGTTGTTAAATCTGTTTTTTTTACCAAAGCGAATTTCCAGGTTACAAAAATCCAACCAAAAAAAATTACAACCTGACCTGGGTACTTGATATTGTATTAAAAGTAGTCCATAATTTAAAGAACAAAAATCACCAACAATTAAAAACGTGCTTTTAAATTATCCTGAAAATAATTTAGCGCAAGCATAATTGAACATCGTTCTGAAATTATAAAACTATTTTTAAATAAAAATGTTTAAAATAGTATTACATTACATCATTTTCATCAATATTCTATTACGACATTAAAATGTCAAAAAATAGTTTTGTTCCAAACAAAATTCACTTATTTTCCATCAGAATTCTAAAAATTACATTTATATAAGTTAAACAATTGAGAGGTGAAAAATCTGCTCATGGATGGAAACCTGTAACGGGACTGATCTCGTGAGCAAATCAGAGTTCCAAACGTACAGATTTTATAATAAATAATCCTATGAGTGTTTAATAAATTACAAAGCAGTTTATACTACTCTGTCGGAAGGCCCTGTTGGTTAGCGTGATCGCTTTGCGCGGCGCAACCCTGGGTTCGATTCCCGGCCGATGCAAATTATAAATGTGCGCTTTCCTTACAAATGTCCTAGTATTTATTGCATTCTGAAGAGGAGAAAGACCACCCTAAAGTTAAAAAGGTCGTTTTATACGGCGAAGGGAAGTCTTCGTGCTAACCACGCGAAACCCTTATCTCATGGCCGAGAGGCGGGTCTCCGTCAAGAACAGTTACACTAGAAATCAGTTTTATATCGAGTGCGAGTAGAGTTATCATTGAGACTCAAAGTTTTGTGAATCCTCATCGGCTATCAGCACCAAACTCCTAGAATACTAATGTGCACCATCAATCAATGGCGATACTCGAACCCAGCAATAACTGAATCGTTCAAAGCAGTGACTGAGCTTTTGCTGATATCTGTCGAGGGAACCACCCAGGTCAGTAGTCCTGTAAATTAAGTGCATGCCGTCTAGGAAAGTAGCGGAGTTGCTATATCGCTAGAACGTGAGATCCGGGGCTGTCCTATTCAGAAGCCTGCGGGTAATTGACATTTCAGGAATCTCCGTCAGCGGTTCACCGCCCTGCCCGGGACAAGCTCTAAGTCACCTAGTAAATAATTACTTTTTTTTACGTTTATGCAAAACTTGATCTTCGACAATAATGTGAATTTTAAAAAAATTCTAAAAGTATTGTTTTGTTTGATGGCCCCCTCTCTTGATTGATATTCGATGCACGTTTACCATCTCGACAGCTGGAGCACACACATGTCAGTTTCGAATTCTGTATCGCTTCTAATATTTACTTTTATTAAACCTCTACTCATAGCCCGGAAAGTGTTTCATTAAATTATAATGTCATTTTACTGTACTAACTCCAGTTATAATTAAAGTGACTTTCTCGTTGAAGTTACCGCTCAAAATAACTTCTCTCTGCATCTCGAACGAACGTTCATCACCTATCACATCTACCCATTCTCCTCTTCATCAAAAGAAATCTGCCTCCTTGTTCCTCTCAAAGAAACGTCTTCCATTCCGGCTGTTCATCGGCCACTGCTTTATACCGAAATCAGTTATCTTTGTCAATGTTTTACTGCGCATACCTAATAAAAATTTATTTTTTCTTGTTATCTGTTGCGCCTATTTACTTGTTGATTATCCTATCGCCCACGAAAAATCGTCCATACCATACGCTCCGCCATATCCTCTTTAAAAGCAAGCTCACAACTTATTTTTGTCTGTTTTTCTTACAATAAAAACTAATTTTTCATGTTTATTTCTATATTTACGATCTTCTCCTTTTGTTACTAATTTTAGACAAATGCATGGTTTATCTAACTAGCTATGAAACTGAAAAACTTAAAATGGAATTATTTCAATCATGCAACCAAAGCTAATAGCAGTGTCAGTTCATCCAAATATCATAAACAAAATATTAAAAACTAGAACTAATATGATTTATAATTTAATGGTTCTATGAAAATGTTCTGTCACGTAAGAAACAATCTTAGAAAGATCTATACATCAAAAGAGTGCAAGAAAAAAATGTTAGTTTTCCCCATAAACAATCTTAGTGACGGTTTATATGCGTTCCATTAAATTATTTAAAATTTCTTTCATGAAATATTAAGATTCTTTCACAACAGATCATAAAAGTATTTTAAGAGACTGCAGCATAAATGTGATCACAAAAAAATTATACATTTCTGATAAATAGTATATTTTTCAACGAGCGTAGAATGATACCTATTATTCACGAATTGTGTTTACGACACGAGCAACGAGGAGGCAGTGTCGGAACTTCTACGAGTGAATAACAGCCATTCTACGCGAGTAGAAGTCTATGCATGCTCTACAATTTGAAATAGATGTTTTAAAAATAATAAATGGTCGCCGTAACCTTACAGAAAGGCTGCAGAACACGCAGTGTTATTTGACCCTTAAAAACACCAATTCGCATTCTGTTTCGTGGTTCACCTGTCGTAAGACAGTTGCGATTTGCCGTGGCGGAGCACGCGAAGTCTCTGTAGACAACAGCGAGAAAACTCTGTCGTGTTTAATGAACTAAGGCGCATGCGACATTGGACAGAGACATTAATCGACAGCCGTGCGAGAATTCTCGCACGTTTGTCATCATTACTGCATCCCATAACATGCAGAAATGTATACATTCTAACGTACTCTTAGAGTAAAGCGATTACGACATCATCTTTCATTCCAAGTTTTTACCGAGAATGTCTTTTAATGGAAGTTAATGTGGGTTAACCAAACAGTTTACATTTGCAACAACAC